ATGGAGGGTAGTTAAGATAGAGGAGGATCCATTATGACAATATTAGTTGAAAATGATCACTCTGGACAAGAACTGAGTGCCAAAAGCAGGTAAAGGGATATACTGATAAGCTTAAAGCATCTTTATCACAAACCTTAATCCTTAATGCCTATGAAAGAGAGAAAGAGAGAGAGACAGAGACAGAGACAGAGAAAGAGAGAGAGAGAGAGAGAGAGAGAGAGAGAGAGAGAGAGAGAGAGAGAGAGAGAAAGAGAGAGGAGGAGAGAGATGCCTGCCAAAAAGGCAGGCTGGGGTGAGGGTTAGCTTAAATGGGTGGGAGGGAAACTGTAGACACTGGTGCTTGGAAATTACACTGGTGAAGGGATGGGTGTTGGAACATTGTGTGACTGAAATGCAATTATGAGCAATTTTGTAATGCTCTATCTCATGGTGATTCAATAAAAAAATTTAAAAAAAGAATATTATATTCACTTAAAATTAGTTCACTAGCAAAATTCATTGATAAAATCTGAAATTAATAGATAATTATATAAAAAGATTTTTAAAGGCTCTGAAAATAAGATCATAAATCACATTTTTTGAAATGGAATTGTAATATTTCTTGAATTTTTTCTAAGATATCCTTAGGATATCTTTGAGATCTTAGGATCTCAAAATACATAACTAGATAGAAATGGAATTGGTTTAGACTAAAAAAAATAATACCAGTAACAAGTAATTATTTCTCACTGTAGTTTTTGATTATATTTATTGCTACATTGTAAGGTTGTTTAAATCTGAGATTGGTGGAGAGACTTACCCAGGAGAAGGGGGTCCCTTGTACAAATCAAAGCTAACCTCTGGGCACATTTGTTCATTCTTGGGGTGATGGTGATTGAACATGTGTGTGGGTGTGCATCTGTGTGTATATTTGAGTGAAAGTACCGAATAAAAAGGACTTTATTTGGAAGTGGTCATTTTACTCCAGAATTTGTTTCTGGATAGAATCAGTTTCTCTCTCTCTCTCTCTCTCTCTCTTTAAATTAAAATAATGTGAATTTATGTCCCATACCCAAATGAGTATGGGACATCTTAGTTTACATTTTCAAGTAAAGATATGATTCTTTTAATGGCTCCAATCAAATTCTGTCACTTATTTGCATTCTATTTAATAATATAGCCTCTCACAATCCCCCAATACTCCTTGTCCCAAGCCTGCTTCTATGGCAAGCACTTTTCTTCTTTATCTTTCTCTCTCTCCTTTTTCTTTTATGCTTTGTGGATTGTGATACAGGTAGTAAAAGGTCATTGTGTTTGTTCAGGGTGTTTAGTACTTTTATTAGGAAGGTAAAATTGGAGTAACTTTTTAACTTGATGGCAGCTTTGGGATGTGGACAGGACTGCTGAGGCTTCTGGAAGTACAGGGAAGTAGGGGGAGGTAACCCATACCCATTCTGAGAAAGCCTGGAGATTTCAGTCAAAAAACCCACATATAAGAACTTTCAAAAGGTTAGTATCTTGGTGAGGCCCATTCTAAGACAGGGAAGGCTGGCTGGGGTATGGTGGTGATTTTAGATTAGGGGAGCTAATGGTTGCCAGGGGTTCTCCTTGCGTGGACTTCCGGCTAACCTGCCCCCACTCCAATTTATCCGGGTCTGTTCACTCTTGCAAGGGTCCAGATTAACTGCAACTTTTGATCCCCTCTAAGATTTACATATGGGGTTTTTTAAACAAGGCTGATAAATGAGCTTATATAGCTAAGCTGGAGGTAGTTTGTGGGCATGTCTCCCACAGGCCTATATTTTGGCCTTTTAATTTCTCATGAAACTTGGTCCTGAGTTCTTGGAGTCCAGCCAGAGGCACAGCAAAATTGCCTTTATTTTAAAAAGGAATAAATACAAATAGTTTACTATCAATTAGGCAAAGAAGTATCCCGGTCATTTTTTTTTTTAAATTTTAGTTTACATTGTAGTTTAGGTAACATGATTGTAGTAATATTAAAGTTTCAGAGCATTGATGTACAAAGTCACTGTACCTCACCAAAATATCCAAAGAAAGTTTCCAAGATTTTCCACCACTGTTCCTATATGAAGTGGTATCTGCCTATTCCTTATCTATCACTTCTCCCCATTGTCTGGTAATCTGAGTTTTGTAACGTAAGGCCAATGTTTTGGCATTCTTCTTTCTAACCCAATATTATTTGACACTCTTGACTAATATTTCTGTATACCACAGATAAGTGAGATTATCTGGTATTTGCCATTTACCCTCTGACTTAATTCATTAATATACCTTCCCATTTCTTTGGCATTGCAGTCAATTGCATGAGTTTATTTGTTCTTATAACTGCACAGTATTGCATTATCTATATGATATATTCTATATCCATTCATTTTTCATTGGACATTTGGGATATTTCCAAGGCCTGGCTATTGTACTAAGCATTGCAATGAACATAGTTGGGCTTAGGTTTTATGTTAACGTTTTTTTGTGGGGCGGGAGAGGTAGATGCCTAGAAGTTAAATTGTTGGATCATATTGGAGGTATATTCTTAAGTTTTTGAGAAATATCTATAATGCTTTTCTTTGAGAGAAACTGACAATATTCCAACCAACAGTGAATGAGAGTTCCTTTGTCACTGCACTGGTTATTCCAGTCTGGTTTTTATATATGACATTGTCACTGCTGTCAGATGTCATCTCTTAAAAGTCTCTTTATATTTTTTTCCCATTTTTCAAGGGATTTTGGGTAATTTTACTGTTGAGCATTTTAATAGTCCCATATAAAATGGATGTTAGCCCTTATCTGAAGGATTGTGTGCAAAGATTTTCTCACATTCAATAGGGTGTTTTTTCTTAATTGAGCCCATGAGAAATTTTTGGACATAGTAACCATTTGTAATTTGATGTATATATTTTATACAATTTTTTTTTACCTTTTTTCCTGCCACCATTATTAAATAATTGAAGAATTTTGAGGTCCATATTCTGGAGAGCTCTAGCTATGTTTAACTGATATCCATTCAAATATTTTGTTCTAATTCTATGTTATTTTCAATCACTGTCCTCCGGTTGTTCATCGATTTTCTTGAGTGGGCCCAGCAAAGTCTCCATTGTCAGACTTGTTGTTACTGTGTTTGGCATATCGAATACATCACGGGTAGCTTTCCAGGCTTTGCTGTGTGGGCGAGATACTCTCGTTAGCTTGCCGGGCTGTCCGAGAGGGGTGTAGGAATCGAACTCGGGTCAGCCTTGTTGACTGCGTACAAGACAGATGACCTACCCGCTGTGCTATGTTCTTTTATCATAGTTAATTGCAAAAGATTAAAATATTTCTAAGATGAGGCCCAAAGCAAATCTGTTTTTTTTAATCCATCTGTAATCAATTTAGACTTAGAAATCCTTGACATAGTACTTAGGCAAGAAAAAGAAATCATTGAGATGCAAATTGGAAAAAGTCACTGTCACTGTCACATTCCTCCTGTTTTTCATCTATTTGCTTGAGTGGGCCCAGTAACGTCTCCATTTTGAGACTTCTTGTTACTGTGTTTGGCATACTGAATATGTCACGGGTAGCTTGCCAGGCTATGCCGTGTAGGCGAGATACTCTCAGTAGCTTGCAGGGCTCTCTGAGAGGGGTAGTGAAATCGAACCCGGCTCAGCCGGGCTGGCTGCGTGCAAGTCAAACGCCCTACCACTGTGCTAAAAGTGATATATATCTATTTAAATATGCCATGATAATAAACAAAAATAAATTAAAACACATCATGAAAATGGAAATAACTTAAAAAATTTAAATATGTGGAATAAAAGTCTAATATCACATTATGCTTACAACATGGAGAATACATTTCAGAAGACATAATATTGACATTTAGTAGTGAAATAAAATTTAAAAATAACGTAAAATTATCCAAACACTAAAATATCCCTCACATACTATACTTCTGCACAGGCCATTTCCTAAATGATAAAATTTTTAGTATTATGCTTTTGCAGCTGGTGGGATTGGAGCTATCATTGTAGGCCTGAGACTAGATTGTCAACAGTTTTGTAAATAATGGTGCCTAAAATGTATATGTATATAAAATAAAAGCCCATGTTTCTGTGGCTCTCCCAGATTTCATTATTTAAATAGTTATTCCTTATGAATGAATGCATAGTAATCCAGTAATCTGAAAAGGCAAAGCAAATGGGGTATGGGACATTTTCAGGGAATGTTTACCAATGTCTAATTGGCACCAAGGGGATTAATAGATAGCTATGGAGCTCTGAATGGTTAGTGATGTTAGAATCAGAATGAACACATAAATTTTTGGATATAATGTATTGTCCAAACTCCTGGAAAATGAACAATGATTGTTATATCTAACTCTTTTTTCTAATCACCACATTAATTAGTAGGAAAAAAATTAAGCTGATGTCTTAAAAATAGTGAAGTTTGCATTATTTTCACATTTGATTTTTAGGGTGATATTTGCCTTGCACGTGGCTGAACTGGTTGACCTTGGTTGGATTCCTCCACCCCACTCAGAGAGCCCAGCAAGCTACCGAGAGTATCTTGCCCACATGGCAAAGACTGGCAAGCTACCCATGATATATTCGATATGCCAAACACAGTCACAACAAGTCTTACAATGGAGACGTTACTGGGCCCGCTCGAGCAAATCGATGAACAACGGGAGGATAGTGCTACAGTGCTATTAATTTATTCACATTTTTAAATAGCCCATAGGATGATTATTTTAGTTTTCCGGGTAGCACATACATAAAAGGTTTTCATCAACCACAGAACATCACTTAAGTAAATTTTAATCTCTTGGAGTCGAAGTGATAGCACAGCAGGTAGAGGACTTGCCTTGTATACTGCTAATTTGGTTTAATTTCCTGCAACCCAGATAGTCGCCATAGCTCACGAGAATGGTTCCTGAACAGAGAGCCAGGAGAAAACCCTAAGGACTACCTAGTGTGGACAAAAATACACAAAAAATTTAATTAATAAATTTGTATAAATATTACTGTTTATTTGTTGAACTTTTCACCCAAGAGTGAATGAATGGAAGTAAGTGCTTCTCTTCTTCTTTGAAACACCTTTCTCAGCGCTAACGTTATGGCTTTGTTTCTCAGGCTATAAATCATTGGATTCAATGCTGGGGGAACTACCGTATACATAATAGTGAGGAACATATCCAAGGCTGTTGGAGATTCAGATTGAGGCTTGAAATACTCAAAGGCACCAGTAGAAAGGAACAATATGACAACAGCGAGGTGGGGGAGGCAAGTGAAAAAGGCTTTGGCTCTGCCCTCCGCAGATGGCATCCTCAGCACCGAAGAGAATATTTGCACATAGGAGAATCCAATAAACAGGAAACAAAGAAATGCCAGCAGAGCTGTAAAGAGAATGATGTCTATTTCACTCATAAATTCACTAGAGCATGCAAGTTTCAGAATCTGGGGGATATCACAGAAGAACTGGTGAATGACACGGGGGCCACAGAAGTGGATGGAGAAAGTAGTTGCCGCGTGCATGACTCCAGAGATGACCCCACTGACCCAGACGCCGAAGACCCCATGGACACAGGTTCTGAAGTCCATGATGACGTCATAGCGCAGGGGAAGGCAGATGGCCACATAGCGGTCATAGGACATCAACGTGAGCATGGATAGCTCAGCAGAACTACAGGTCATCAAAGCAAAGCACTGCACGATGCATTGCCAGAGGGAAATATTCCCACTGTGCATGAAAGAGTTGTAAATGAATCTTGGCACAGTCACTGAAATATAGCAGAGATCCAGCAAGGAGAGATGCTTCAGGAAGAAATACATGGGGGACTGGAGACTGTCATCCAGGGAAGTGGTGGTGATGATGAGCATGTTGCCACCTAAAGCCAACAAGTACAGAACGAGGAATAGAGAAGCATAGAAGATTTTTAGCTCAGGCGTATCAGAAAAACCCATGAGAAGAAACCCACTCATCGTGAAATTATCCATAGTTCTTGATTTCTTATTTTGGTCGACTCCAGGACAAGATGAAGTCTGCTGAAGAAAAATTATTTTGGTAACATCAGGCTAAACAGTGAAGTTTGGGCAAGAAGTCAGAATCAACCCTCCTCCTTTATAAATGTGATGAGGTATTGTATATTGACAACCATCTCATGCAATATAGTTATTTCATCTATTTGAAAGAAATGAACTTGCTTATAGAAAATTATGCATTTTCACATTGCTAGTTCAATTTAACAGATGATACCTGTATAGGATCTTAGGTCATAGGTTAAAAGGGATCAAAGTTCAGCACCTGGGACATACCATAAAAGGTTGTTAGGTCACATGAATCTGACTCAGTTTCCTATTTTTTTTCACTTGTTCATTTTGGAATTTGGGCGCTATTGGTTTTAGGCCACTTGCAGTGATGCTGAGGGTCATTCCTGGCTCAGTTCTCAGAGGTTCCTGAGAACCAACTGTGCAGGAACAGGCTATGGGATTCCTGCATGCAAACATTCACCGAGTCTCCTCCTGGGTTTGATCCCTTGTACCCTGCCGTTTCTGAGCATTGTCAGGTGAACTCGGAGCCCCTTGAGCATTTCCAGCCAGATCCGGTCACCTTCAGCACGACAGAATCCTACGGGCACCTCTTCTCAGCTCTAGCTCTGAACTTGAAGTGTGCTTTGTAGAATATCATGGCAGTGGCCGGGGTTTCTTCTGCAAGATTTGGGTTCCTCCTGCCCTCCCGATATCAAATATATATATACACAATCTTATGCATATATATATGCATATGAAAATAAAAATACACAGAGAATACTATCAACTTGCCTTGCATGTACCAGACACAAGTTAGGTCCCTGGTACTCCATGCCCCTCCGCAAACATTTCTGTTCCTTACGTTCCTGAGCACTTCTGGGTGACAGAGATGCCCCCTGAGAGGTACTCCCTGCCACTAGATGGCCAGAGAAACACCTCACCCTCAGGCCCTAGAATGGAGCAGTTGCCTCTGTGTGTGAGTCACTGAGAATGACTGCAGGTCCCGTGAGAAGAGCTGAAAACCGCCTTCTCCATCCACAGTGTGATTCAGCTCATTATCCCACTTGGAAATAAGTGTGCAAGCTCAATTCACTGTCATCAACCTTCCTATTTACACGTCACTACAATCACACAGGGTCTATTTCCAGAGGTTTATAACCTTTTCATGCATGAGGTCAAAAGTTCCTGATGCTTTTTCTTTTTACTCAATATTTTTTCTTGACCTAATGAAAATTACCAGCTGGTTTTTCTCCTTGGTAGAACAAACTACCAAACAGCAAAACCAACCTTAGACTCTGGAAAACTCTGTGATTGCCTGAGAGAAAGGGAAGGAAGCTAGGAGATGTGGCTACAGAGTGTGAAGCTCTCATCCTGAATTTCTAGAGTGAATAAACCAGTGAACAACCAAAATATGTCAGTCGATAAAAATAAATAATGAATGCTAATTTCCCAGTCTAAAAATCTTGAAAGATCTGTCCACAGTGAATTGTTAAAAATAGAAGAATATTGTTGAAATAAGTTTAAAAATAACCTAACTGCTTTTTCAGTTGAATAAAGTATGTTATGAAATAAAATTTTCACACTAAAATATAGTTTGTAAAGATTTATTTCAAATTCATATATTAAATGAAATTAGTTAATGAGGAAGTCACCTAAACACACACTAATAGTACAGTAAATTTTATATGTGACCTCTGGAAACTTGTCCATAGTTAAATCAAGTTTGTATCTAAATAACAAATTACTGCAAAGACTTATCTGTTCTTAAGAAAAATATGTTAATTTAAAGTAATTTTATTAGCAACAGCCACCCATGTTTCTGGTTGAAGCTCTAACTCTTCTCAATTAAAATGATGTGAATTTATGAATTTTATTTTACATTTTTCAAGTAACGATCACTCCAGGACGCTTTCCGGACCCGCGCGGCAGCTCCGGCCGAGACCCACGCACGACTGAAGACCCACAGAACAAGATAAGCGGAACTCTCTGAGACCTTGGACTCCAGGCTCGGCGGACCCAGGGACAGAGCTTCTCTGCTTGCTCCCACCACCACAGGTGACAAAGGGATTCTAATCAGGAGCCCCACCCTACCCTGCCCTGTCTGCTTCCATCAACCACCCAGGGATCGAATTGTGCACAGGAGACCCACCCTACCCAGATAAATACCCCACTGGCAGACTCCACTCTCGACACTACTTCCACTACCCAGCCGTCGCCACACTCCAGGACGCTTTCCGGACCCGTTCAGCAGCTCCGGCCGAGACCCATGCACAACTGAAGACCCACAGAACAAGATAAGCGGAACTCTCTGAGACCTTGGACTCCAGGCTTGGCGGACCCAGGGACAGAGCTTCTCTGCTTGCTCCCACCACCACAGGTGACAAAGGGATTCTAATCAGGAGCCCCACCCTACCCTGCCCTGTCTGCTTCCATCAACCACCCAGGGATCGAATTGTGCACAGGAGACCCACCCTACCCAGATAAATACCCCACTGGCAGACTTTCACTCTCGACACTACTTCCACTACCCAGCCGTCGCCACACTCCAGGATGCTTTCTGGACCCGCGCGGCCGCAAGCGGCCGCGCGACACATCATAATACACTAAATACCCATCTTCTGGAATTGTCATACCATATTTGGTAGGGTTCAAATATGGTAACACCTACAAGGGTGATTAGAGGTCACCCCAAAAGCCTCTATCCCTCTCAGAAAGACTGGCAAGCTACCGAGAGTATTCCGCCCGCACGGAAGAGCCTGGCAAGCTATCCATTGTGTATTAGATATGCCAAAACCAGTAACTACAACTGGTCTCATTCACCTGACCCTGAAGGCTTCACCGACATGGCAGCACTGAGAAGGATGAGAAAGGAGAGGCCGACAAAATCTCAAGGCCGACCTAGGCTGCCACAACAAAAATGATCGTCTGTACTTTCAATGCACGTACGCTAGCATCAGATGCATCCATCGAGGACCTGATGGTACAAGCGCGAATGATCAAGTACGACATCATTGGTCTGACCGAGACAAGAAGGCACGAATCTCACCATGCCGTTTTCGACACTGGAGAAGAATTGTTCCTCGGAACATGTGATAAAAGAGGTGTTGGAGGCGTTGTTATCCTTGTCAACACAAACTTGGCCAAGAGCATTGATTCATTCGAATGCCTAACAACCCGAATCGGACGTTTACATTTGAATAGATGTGGCTCACTGCCTGCAGTTTCTATCTTCGTTGTCTATGCACCAACATCTCATTATGATGAAAGAGAAATCGAGAAGTTCTACATGGAGCTAGAGAAGTTCAAGTAACGATATGATTCTTTTTATGCCCTCAAAATCTTTTATTTTATTTGCATTCCATTTGACAATGTAACCTATCTTTCTAGAACCTAAGGTAACTCACCAGAACACACCCAGAAATTTCAGAAATATCTTAACTTATCATAGGGACAAGCTGTCAGTCTTAAAGGCTGACACACGAAAGTCATATCTCAGCCACTCAGTTCATTTCAATAAAATACAGTTTGTGGAGATTGAAACCTTAGTCCATTTCAGTCTTTTGGCCATTTGGGGTTTGGGGTGAAGTCCCATTGGTAGCAACAGAGTTCCTGAGTGCTCTGGGTATTGGCTATTCTGTGCAACACCCTGGGGTCCAAACTTGCAATTGTATTGCGTTTTCTTGCCATGCATTTTTCTGTTGAAATGATTTAATGATCTCACCTAGTAACTGGAAGTATAGCTTTATTTGTGCTCTTCCAGCCTTTTTTTGATATATGCCATTCCTAACGTGTGAGATGTTATCATTGATTTTTTAATTTATTCATTCATTTATATGTTTTTGCATTTACATGATATCAGAAGACAATGAACAATTTTTCACATCTGTAGGTCATCTTTTATGTGTTGTTCTGAAAACTGTCTGTTTATCATTTTCTCTATTTTTGATACTTTCACTGTTGAGCATTTTGAGAGCCTTATATATAATGGATATTAGCCTTTATCTGAAATTTTGTGTGAAATATTTTTTGAGTTTCATTAGGGTATCTTTTAATTTTAGCTTGTGGGAGGTGTTTTGACCATAGAAACCACTTTTAATATGATGTAGTTTATTTATTATTTTGATTTTACATATTTTTCATACCATTCTCAAATAATTGAAGATTCTTTTGGAATCCATGTGCTGGAGAGCACTTACTATATTTACCCTATATATTTAAAGAATTTTGGTCAAATACTGTTTTAATTGTAGTAAATTGCAAAAGATAGAATTATTTCTAAATTCAGGCACAAAACAAAAATAGATTCCTATACTCCTATAATCAGCATAGCCTTAGAAATCCTTAACACAAAAATTAGGCAAGAGAAACATATAATTGATATTCAAATTGGAAAAAGACAAGGTGAAATATGACAATTTAGAGATGACATAATAATATACATAAAAGAAATTAAAGCACATTATGAATTAGGAAACAACTTAAAAATTAAATATGTGGAATAAATTCTAATACTATAGTAAGTTTACAACATGTAGTATGTATCTACAAAGACAAAATATTGACATTTTGCAATATAATAAAATTAAAATAGAATGTCAAATTAACCAAACATCAAGTTATCACTTACAGATTATACCTTCTTTGTTACCATTTTCTAAATGAAAAAAAATTTTCAGTAATATACTTTTACTAGTGGTGAGATTGCAGCTGGAAAATTATAGACCTTATACTATATTGTCGAAAAATTGTACATAATGGTGCCTAAAAAAATAAATATATATAATAAAAGCCTGTATTTCTGTAGTTTTCCCATATTATTTTTTAAAAGTATGTATTCCTTATGAATGAATTCATAGTAATGTACTAAACTGAAGGGGCAAAGACATGGGGTTTGGGACGTCTTCAGGGAAACTTCAGCATGTTGGATTGGAGCCTAGAGGGACTGGTAGAAAGTTAGGAAACATTGAATAGTTAGTGATGTTAGAAACTGAGTGATCTTATCATTTTTGGATATAAATTACTGTTTAAACTCTAGTGTAACTAGGAAAATGAACTGAAAATGCAATATTTAACTCTTTTCCATCAAGGCACAAAAATTACTAGGGAAACAAAATTTAGTTGATGTCTTAAATCTTGTGAAATTTGCATTATTTTCACTCAGATTTTGTAAGATTATGCTTAAATTATTCACAAGGTATTTTTTTCTGTAGCCCAAAGTACGATTATTTTATTTTCTGGTAACATATATGTAAAATGGTTCTGTGAACCCAAAAACATGACTTAAAATAAATTTTAGTTTTTGGGGCCAGTTTTATCAATGGTACAGCAGGTTGCCTTACCTACTGCTTGGCCTTGCATCTTCCTAATTATGGTTTAATTCCCAGCACCGATATGGTCCCCCAAGCCTACTAGGAGGATATCTGAGTACAAACCTGGGAGTAAGCCCTGAGTAGCATCAGGTGTGCCCCAAAATACACATAAAATTTAATTTATTAATCATCTCTATAGATAATAGCAATTATATATTGAACTTGTCCCCCAAGTGAATGTGAATGAATGGAAGTGCTTCTTTTCTTCTTTGAAACACCTTTCTCAGAGCTAACTTTATCGCTTTGTTTTTCAGGCTATAGATCATTGGATTGAATGTTGACGTAACTACAGTATACATAATAGAGAGCAACAGATTTAAAGCAGTTGGAGATTCAGAATGAGGCTTGAAATACTCAAAGGCACCAGTAGAAAGGAACAAGATGATGACAGCGAGGTGGGGGATGCAAGTCGAAAAGACCTTGACTCTGTCCTCCGCAGATGGCACCCTCAGCACTGAAGAGAATATGTGCATGTAGGAGAACCCAATAAACAGGAAACAAAGAAACAGGAAACAAAGAAACACAAGAAAAGTTGTAAAAAGAGTTACATATATCTGACTTATAAAGTCATTTGGGCAGGTGAGTCTCAAGAGCTGGGGAATATCACAGAAGAACTGGTGAATGATGTGGGGGCCACAGAAGTGGGTGGAGAAAGTAGTTGCAGCATTCATGACTCCAGAGATGACCCCATTGGCCCAGACACCGACAACCCCATGGATACAGGTTCTGACATCCATGATGACATCATATCGCAGATGGCCATGTAGTGGTCATAGGACATAAAGTGAGCATGGACACTTCAGCAGTACCACTGGAAACCAAAGCAAATACCTTCACGATGCATTCCCAGAGGGAAATATTCCCACTGTGCATGAAAGAGTTGTAAATGAATCTGGGCACAGTCACGGAAATATAGCAGAGATTCAACAAGGAGAGATGCTTCAGGAAGAACTACATGGGGGACTGGAGACTGTCATCCAGGGAAGTCGTGATGATGATGAGCATGTTGCCAGCTAAAACCAACAAGTACAGGACCAAAAGCAGAGAAGCATAAGTGATTTCTTGTTCAGGTTTAGATGAAAAACCCCTGAGAAGAAACCCACTCGTGGTGAAATTATCCATAGTCCTTGATTTCTTACTGTGGGTGACTCCCAGACAAGACAGAATCTGTTGAATAGAAATTTTTTTTGGTAACATCAGTCTAACTTGAAGTTTGGGTATGAAGTCAGTATAAATGTGAATAGACTTTGTAAAGTGAGAACTGTCTTAAGCAATTTATTACTTTGTCTATTTGAAAGGAATGAACATTGGTTATAGAAAATTACTCATTTTACCATTGCCTTATAATTTGACTGATAACAGTATAGAATCTGTGGACATAGGCAAAAGGTTTAAAGTACAGAAATCTAAAAGATAGTATAAGGAGTTGTTGGCTCACATGCTTTGGATGAACCTGACCTTCTTTTTCTTTTTCTTTTTTTTTGGCTTTTTGGTATCACACCCAGTGATGTACAGGGGTTACTCCTGGCTTTGCACTCAGGAATTACTCCTAGTGGTGCTTGGGGGACCATATGGGATGCTGGGAATCGAACCTGGATCGGCCACATGCAAGGCAAATGCCCTACCTGATGTACTATTACTTCAGCCCCCCCTTATTTTCTTTTTTAAATTTTTTTCACTTGTAATTTTTGGAAATTTGGGTGGTTTTGCTTATCATTTCCCAGTGATCTTGGGAACCACTCCCAGCTCTGTTCCCAGGAGTACCTGAGAATCAGCTTTGCAGGAGCAGAGAGTGGAATTCCTGCATGCAAAGCACCAAAGAGCCTCTTCCTGGATTTGATCCCTTGCCACAGGCGGTTTCTGAGCATTTCCAAGTGAGTCATCGAGGACCTCGAGCACGGCCAGATGGGATCTGTGCATTTGCAGCATGACAGGAACCTGAGCTCCTCACTCTTGGGCCTAAGCCCTGAACTGCAAGCCTGGGTAGCAGAATATCGCAGGAGTGTCCCAGGGGTCCCCTGAGGATGCTTGGCTTCTTCTCGCACTGTACCAAATATATATGCATGCATATGTGCACATAAAAATAAAGCTGCAAAGAAAGTGCTCAGAGCTTACCTTGCATCTACCAGACACCAGTTAGTTCCCTGGTACTACATGCTTCCCCCCACAGGCATTGCTGGTCCTGAGGTCCCTGAGCGCTCATGGGGGTGGGGGGCATGGTATCCATGCTCCCTGGCACTGGAGGGCCCAATGCACCTCACCCTCAGGCACCAGAATGGAGCAGCCTGTCCCTGTGTGTGACGGTCACTGAGAATGGCTACAGGTTCCTCTAGAACTACTGGGAACCGCCTTCTCCATCTACAGTGTTATCCAGCCAATACACCTCTTATAAATAAGTTTCTCAACTCTATTCACTGTCATCAGCCTTCCTATTTACACATCACTTGAGCCACTCAGTGGCTACTCTGGGAGGTTTCTGATTTTGTCCATTCTTGAGGGGAAAAAGCTCCTGATGCTTTTTCTTCTCACCCAATAATTTTCCTTGGAGAGAAAGAAAATTAGTAGCTGGTTTTCCTCTTAGGTGGAGACAAAGGACCAAACAGGAAAACTAATGTTCGAGTCTGGGAAAATTGTGATTGCCTGAGAGAAAGGGAAGGAATGTAGGAGGTGAGGCTACATGGTTTGAAGCTCGAACCCTGAAATTTTAGAGTGAATAAAAACCAGCGCACAAACTTTTAACAGATGAAAATAAACAGTGTATGCTTTTCGCCAGAAAAAACATCTTAATTTGCTATCTGCTTTTATTTTGTGGTAGGTCAACAGTGCTTGGGGAGACTCATAACTCTGTGCTTGGAGATTGATCTCTGCAGTGCTTGGGGGACCCACAGTTTCCTGCTGCAAAGCCTGTGCTCAGTCTGCTGAGCTGTCTTTCTTGCCCCAGAAAAACACAGTTTCAAAACAGTGTGTACTGAAAGGACCTACACAGTCATGATGATATGCTCACAATCACTGTGGTTAACATAAAGCATCATGTACATTGTCCTGAAAACCTAAATTTCTAGACTGAATGCATGAAATAGCATCTCCTCTGAAGTTTATTGTTAAAAAATATTAATATTGCTGAAATAAACTTAAAATTAATTTATCAAGCTTTCAGTTGAGTAATATATCAGTTGTGAAATATCATTTTCATCCATCATTTCATCCAACGGCCAGGAGTGATTCCTGAGTGTAGAGCCAGCCAGGAATAACCTCTGAACATCACTGCACATGCCTTCCTCCCCTGCATAAAAAAAAAAGAGTAAAGAGTGGCTGTTGTAGTGAAGCTGCCTGAGTATATCTGATTTGTGACCTTCGTTCTCCGTTCTCCGTGCCTTGGTTTCTTCATTTGCAAATAGGAATGGTTCTAAAGATACAAGATAAGCCTTCTAGTGATTCTGGGAGCCACTCCCAGCTCTGTTCCCAAGGGTGCTGGAGAATCAGCTTTGCAGGAGCAGAGAGTGGAATTCCTGCATGCAAAGCACCCCAGAGCCTCCTCCTGGATTTGATCCCTTGTAACAGGTGGTTAATGACAACTCTCAAATGACAAACAACACCTTGTGCTCAGTTAGTGACCACACTAGACCACACTAGGGCTGACGCAGATGCCCCAGGGAGAGTCAAGGACTCACTCCTTGGCTGCATCAGCCAGATTCGGAGGCTGGCTGGATCTGGGAGGAGGCACCCAGGGGTTCTTGCTCTGCCATGGGGGGTGGTGGAGCTCCTGGAGTGGGTTACTGAGTGAGGACAGGGGCAGGCTGGGAACAGGGCCTTTCTGATGGGGACAGAGCTAAGAAGCTGGGTAGGAGATGTGCCACTCAGAGTGCACCCAGGCACCTAAGAAGGTCTCGATCCCCATGTGCCTGATGATGAAGGCCTTCAGGAACCTCTGTCTCAGGATCCGTGCCTTGGGAGTGAGGGAAATGACTGGGCCTGGGCTTCCCTCACAAGGCGGGGGATGTCCGCATACTTGAGAACAGACGCCTAACCACTTCCGTAGAATCACTTAATCCCTGTCATGTCACTTAACCTATTTGTGACTCAGCTCCTGCTCTGGTGACATGGGAGAGCAATGCCAGCTTTGTGTAATGAGGAAACCCACGGGTCTTTGTGAAGCACCAAGAGCCAGCTCTGCTACTGCTGGTCTGTGTCCATCCAACACACCTACCAGGCCGGGGCGGGTGGAGGCTGTGCCTGACTGGCATGGGTGTCCCCGAGATGACTCACCATCTGGCTTGGGACGTCTTCTTCAGGCACACGGTCCCAGCTCTCTGCCCCATTCTGAGCCGCAGCCTTGATCACGTTTGATCATATATTGATTGACAGGTCATTTTCCCAGCATTTCCACCAATAAACCTGAGAAGGAAGAGATCACTTCCTTGGCAGGAGACAAGTGGCTTTGCCAGCACTAAGAGCAGACAAGCGGAAGGTCCCATTGATGTCTCCCTTGGCGACCAGTGAAAACTGATCACCCCAAGTCATCTCTATCTCCCAGGAGAGGGGGAGTAAGGAGGCAATAGTGGTGGTGGAGAATGCGCACCGGTGGAGGGATGGGTACTCGATCATTGTATAACTGAAACCCAAGCACAAAAATTTGTAAGTCTACAACTGTACCTCATGGTGTTTCACTAATAAAAATTTAAGGAAAAAAAATAAAAAGAACAATTATATTCACAAAAAAGAAAGAAAGGAAGAAAGAAAGAAAGAAAGAAAGAAAGAAAGAAAGGCAAGAAAGAATAGCTTTGAGGAGAACATAATGAGGGGCAAAGTTTGGGAAAGTTGCATTTTCACAGCTTTAAGTGACTCTGGGTACTCGAGGCCCTCGACCCATAGACACACGCCACTTCCCTTCTCACAGCCTCCCCTCTCAGATGCTTGGTCCAGTGAGGGCTAAAGTGGCCATCTGTGTGACTCTCTATGGCATGGGGTTTTAGTGAAGGCAGGCAGCCCCCGTCTAAGGCCCACACAGCCCCATCACTAGCTGCATTTTTTTTTTTTAAATCACAAGCAATGTGACAGTGGTAGGGCATTTGTCTTGCACACAGCTGTCTCGGCCAACCCAGGTTCGATTCCTCCGCCCTCTCGGAGAGCCCGGAAAGCTACCAAGAGTATCTCACTCACTGGCAAAGCCTGGCAAGCTACCCGTGATGTTTTCGATATGCCAAACACAGTAACAATAAGTCTCACAATGGAGACGTTACTGGGCCTGCTCGAGCAAATCGATAAACAACAGGAGGACAGTGCTACAGTGCTACCCAACATATATAAAATAGCTTATAACGATCTATCTCAAATTTATATACTGAACCTTATTAATTATTGAGAATCTTACCTAGATATACAAATAGTACATACATGCAAATAGTAAAAATTGTGTGTGCTCTCTGGGAAACAGTCTGTAGTTAAATCAAGTTTGTATCTAAATAACACTTAAATTATGTCTCAGAATAATCACTTAAATCACTTAACTTCCCGTTAGTCGTCGATTTGCTCGAGCGGGCGCCAGTAACGTCTCCATTTGTCCCTGTCGCGTGCTAGTGTAGCCCAATGGCATCTGTTCGCTCCGGGAACATGAAGGGCCTCAAACCGATCGTTCATGATCTTCAGGAAGAAGTCTGACCATCTGGTAGGTGGGCGGCCACGCGGTCTCTTGACATCCCGTGGAATCCAATCAGTAACAGCTCTAGTCCAACGGTCGTCTTTAAATCTCATTACGTGACCAGCCCATCTGATTTTCGACACCTTGGCAAATGAGACAGCGTCCCTGATCCTTGATCGTCGACGGATGTCAGAACTCCGGATTCTTTCTCTCAATTGAGTGAAACGTGATATTCCAAGCATAGCTCTTTCTATTCTTCTTTGGGAGACCTGAATAGCGTTCTCATCTTGTTTGCGTAGGGCCCAGGTCTCTGAGGCATATGTTAATGCAGGAAGAACAGTGGAATCAAAGAGATGTGCCCAGAGCCGGAGGTTCTTCGTCCTCTTAGCTATTTCTTCGACGTTCTTGAAGGCGTTCCAAGCCGCTCTCTTCCTCCTGCGCAGCTCGGGTGCCAGGTCATTTGTCATGTTGACCTCTCGACCTAGGTAGACATAGCTGTTGCATTCGGAGATGGTCGTTCCATTGAGAG